CGGACATGCCTGAAAGTTGTGTGATTAGAGCTTGAGACTTTGAGCCACCTGATCAGTCCAGCCTCCTGGCCTCTGGGAAGGGCAGGAGGTCTAGAGATTGACTTCAGTCGTGTGGCCAGTGATCAAGTCAGTCATGCCTTTATAATGGAACCTGATAAAAATCTGGACAGTGAAGCTGGATGGAGCTTCTTGGTTGGTAGAGATATTGTTGTGCTGGGAAGGCAATGTGGCTCCCCTGATTCTGTGCCCTGGGGAGAGGACATAGAGCTTCTCAGACCTTCCCTATGTGTTCTCTTCATTTGGTTGATCTTGGTTTGTATCCTCTATAACTGGAAGTTATTTCAAGTTCTCTAAATTATTCCAGTAGATTATCAAGTCTGGAGGATTGTGGGAACCCCCAAATTTGTAGCCAGTTTGTAGTCAGAAGTGTGGGTAGCCTGGGACCTCTGAACTTTGTGTCTGGCATCAGAAGAGCAGTCTGGTTGGGGACCATGCCCTTAATGTAAGGGATCTGTGCTAAATCTTGATGGTGAATGTCAGAATTACTTTGCAATATTCCAGTAATATAAACACTATTGACAGAATGTTTTTGTATAATGCTATCAGAAGGATGGGGAAAACAAAAGAGAAGTAGAAGTTTTTGTCAACTATAATAAGCCAATAGGGAGGCCCTAAGCAACTAAGCAAGACCCCATCTCAAAATAAAAAGGGCTGGGAATGTGGCTTAGTGGTTAAGCTCCCTGGGTTCAATCTGTGGTACAAACAAAGAAGGAAGAAAAAAATAAAATATCTCCACATTCATATCAACTTAAAAAGTAACTCATGAATTGAGTGCCACTATAAACCCCCAAACCTGGAGAATTTGGAAAAGGAAGACTCGATATCCATTAAACAAAGTTTGGAATCTCCAGACCTGGCAGATTCTAGCTGTCTACGACTGTCATCGGTTATAATGACAGTGTACTATGCTGAGTTCAGCTGGGGTTGGCAACTTCTAAAACAGACGCACACAACAGAGTTGTTGATGTTATTTTGAAATGTATTCCAGCCAATAATTTTAGATGGAGAATGTTGAATGACTTTATCGTCGTTTAATTCTTGGTCATATTCTTGTTGAGAGATTTTATTTTATTGTGGTGCTGAAGTTACCAGATTTTAGACCTCTAACCTAAGAAATCTGATGCTGCCACCAGTTGCTATAACTGTGGTTTGCTTGTTTCACAGTTGTAGGCTTCAGCAGAATAATCTACATACAAAAGGCTTTGTAAATAAGATAGGCAGTGACTGATAGGCGGCTAGGGATGAAGAGTGTAAGCTACTGAATTTGAAAAGTTAAGACCTTTGAGAAATCAGGTTCTCAGGCAGTCTTTACAGTTTTAAAAGATTAAAACTGGTGAGCATCATTCATGCATTCAGCAAATGTCTGAGCACCTATGTTGAGCAAGGTGTGTGGAAAGGAGGCTAGAATCAGATCAAAGAATAAAGACATGTAGATGCAAGGAATTATAATTCAAAATAAGGAGTGGTGAAATGTCATGGTTGGGTAAAGTGCTTGTGGGAGTTTAGAAAAGGAAGCCATTACTTTTATTTGGAGTGATCTGGAGCAGTAGAATTGGTGGAGCTTGGATTGGGCTTTGAAGGAAGAAGGCAGAAGGGAGGTTCTGGGATCTTGAAAAGAGCAGGGAAGTTTATCAAGAAGGAAAAGGAGAGACTGGAACCTTTTAGTATGTGTTTGTCCTTCACTTGTGAATCATTGAGTCAGTATCAGGAATACAGTATAAAATTTGTATCTTCATACATCCAGAAATATTCAGGAGATAAAATGTTAAAGGAAAGAACAATTGCATTGATAATGGGGTGGAGGGACTTTCATATGATGCTTAATTTTATTTAGCTAGATTCTACAACAAATGTTTAAATCTGTGATTTTTAATAATGTTTCTTAATGGTAAAAACATAAGTTACCTATAAAAAATGCCAAGGAAATAATTTATTTTAAAAACTGACAGAGGTGGTGCTGTGTTGTAGCTCTGGTAGAGCACTTGCCTAACATGTGTGAGGCATTAGGTTCTATTCTTGGCACCACAAATAAATAAAGGAAAAAAGATCCATCAGCAATCAAAATATATACGTATGTATATATTTTTTAAAAAAAGGTGAAAAATATTCAAACACTTACCTTGTGTTCTTATAAAAACCATCCATCATGGTGACCATTTAATGAGGAGTAAGTTCTCTGTGGAAATATTTTACCTAATAGATGGAGATGAATGCGTGAATGCAAATGCTACCATTTTGCAACCCCTAATAAAATAATGGATCTCAATGGAAATCATCCATGACCACTCACAGAGCAAAAGGAAAGATAACCAGACCTGTGCCTTCTGATGCAAGTATGTAGTATTGCTTATGAAGTATTCTTAGGAATAAAATTCAAACCTGAACTTGATCATGTGTCTATATCAAACTACTAAAGGACAGAGGAACATGTTAAATCATATCAGGGAAATGGAGTCAGCAAATGCCAGGCTGAGAAAGCATAAATCTGGGCCCAGTATATTCAACAAATAAGGAGTGTGTATGTGTGTGTGTGTGTGTGTGTGTGTGTGTGTGTGTGTGGAGGGGGAGAGTGCCGGTGGGTAGAGCCTATAGATTATTATTAATAGACATGTTAAACAATATGGAATATGGAAATTATTGAATCCTGATTAAAACAAATTATTAAAAGTTTTTTTTAATTTTGGGAAAATTTACATTGATTAGATACTTGATTCAAGCAATTCTTATAGTTTTAGTAGTATGAGAATGATTAAAAAAATTTTTTTTTAGTTGTAGCTGGACACAATACCTTTATTTTATTTATTTTTATGTGGTCCTGAGGATCGAACCCAGTGTTACGCATGTGCTAGGCGAGAGCTGTACCGCTGAGCCACTGAACCACAACCCCAGCCCCGATTTTGTTGTTTTTAATAGCAGATATGTACTAAAATCAAGGGATGAAGTGATATGATGTTTGAGATTCATTTCAGAATAATCCAAGGTGGGGGAAACATGTGGAGTACAGGTAAAACAAGATTTACCTCAAGTTGATCATGGGTAAAGCTGGACCATGGGTATGTGGAGGTTTTTACTGCTCTCTGGATTTTCTTTTTGTTCCAAAAAGTCTTTTTTTTTTTTTTTTTAAATGCTAGAAACATGTTAGCTGATTATGAAAGATATAGCCAGGAAGAATATGAATGTGCTTCCCATATTTCTGAATAGTAAAATTGGGAGCTACCTTGTATAATTTGAAAGAAGTGCCTTTAAGACAAGTACAGGAAAATTCTACAAGTTGCGCCATAATTTGTTTTCCATAATCTAATTGATTTAGAAAAGTTTATTTAGAGAAGTTCTGGGGCATCCTTAATCTTTTGAAGCAGATATCCATCCTTTGAACTCTTTTGTAGGGAGGTTACTGGGAATTGAACACAGGGCACTTTCCCACTGAGCTAATGTCTAAACTCCAGGTCTTTTTTATTTTTTTCAATTTTGAGACAGGGAGAGTCTTGCTAAGTTGCTGAGGCTGGCCTTGAACTTGCCATCTTCCTGCCTTAGCCTCCTGAATCTCTAGGATTATAGGCACTTGCCACCACTCCCGGCCCATGCTCTGAACTTGAGACAAACACAATCCCAGTATTCCAGAGTTAAGATACCATGGTGTAGCCTGACCCATTGTGTGTATGTGTCGGGGCAGGGGTGTGGGGTGTTGGGAATGGCACCCAAGGCCTCATACATGCCAGGCAAATGTTCTACCACTGACCCAAATACCCAACCCCACATTATAATTTTCAAATGTTTCTACTACATAAAGTTTTTAAGATTATAAGAGAAATGTGCTTTCCCATAGAAGAATTAAATCTCATTCAATTTCTTGGTATTACCCTTAATTTAAAAATTAGTTCATTAAGATACAATATATACAAATAATTGTGTACGTCAGGGTACATAGAAGCTCAATGAATGCATACACACAGGAGTAATGCTGTCTTAATCAAGATGTAGAGTATTTCCTGTACCCAGGAGTTTCCCTTATACCCTTTCCCTGTCATCTACCCCACAACCCAGAGGTAAGCTATATTCTGATTCCTGTCACCAAAGATTAGTTTTGCCTTTTCTTGAACTTAATAACTGGAAATATTACATACTCTTGTGTTATACTTTGTGCATTCCACACAATGTCTCAGATTTGTCCATGTTTTCCATATATCAGTAGTTTGTTCTTTTATATTACTGTTTAGTATTCATTGTATAATTATTCCTCAGTTTATTTGCTTTCCTATAGATTGATATTTAGGCATGTGTACCTGCTCTGCATAAGTGAGCTACCATGGCCATTCCGTAGGTAGACATAATGTGTCTGTGTCTTTTGAAATTACTGTCATAGGGTAGACATAGCTTTAGTTCTAGACATATTGCCAAATAGTTTTTCTAAAATAATTGTATTGATTTATATAGCAATATATTCTCAAAAATATATAAAAAAAAGTTTCTCCTGCCAACACACTTGTAATCCCAACTATATGGGAAGTAAAATCAGGAGAATAGCAGGTTCAACAGTGTTGGCGAATTAGGGAAATCCTGTCTCAAAATAAAAATAAAAAAGGTTGGGATGTAGCTCAGTGGTAGAGTAATATATGAGAATTCCAGTTGCTTTATATTTTTGTCAACACCTGATACTGTAGTTAATGATGCAGTGTATTTAATTTCAGAGGTTGTGATGAATATTCAACCTTAAATTTGAACCATTGGTATTGCTGTTTTATTTTATTGGTGCTGGGAATTGAATCCAGGGCCTTGTGTAAGCTCAGCACGCACTCTACCACGGGGTACCTCCAGCCCAGCTGTTGCTTTTTCACACCAGAATATTCTACAGATTTCCTTGTGTATAATTGTTGGGTTCTAAATTTGATTAGTTCCTCATTGTTGTTCTTAAACTAAAGTATTATTTTTTCCTTTCTCAGTTGTCACAGGTAGTACTGATGGAATTGGAAAAGCATATGCAGAAGAGGTAGGTGATTTTCAAAACTTTTCTCTGTATTATTAAAAAATGAATAAATATAGAATACTTTCATAATAATTTTGATTTTTGAAATTAACAAACACATAGTACAAAGGTTTTGTTTGTTTTTATCTTGTCAGAAATACCATGTTTGTGTACATAAAAAATTTTTTTAAAGCAGATGTCTGGGAAAAATAAGAATAAAATTTTCCATGATGTTTAATTCTAAGAAAATGAGTGTAGCTTTAATTTTATATCATTTAAGTGTATGCAGTACTCTTTTTTTAAAAAAATATTTTTTAGTGTAGATGGACACAATACCTTTATTTTATTTTTTATAAGGTGCTGAAGTTCAAACCCAGTGCCTTACGCATATTAGGAGGCGCTCTACCATTGAGCCACAATCCCTGCCCCCAGTCCTCAGTTTTTAAAGTCAGTTATTTTTAACTATTTTCCAAAAGATAGAAATGTTATAGGCGGTCACATTTTTATAAGAAGGACTGTGGTTAACAGAAAAATATTGACAGGCTCAGGCAAAGCGTTGACGCCCTGTGTACTACACGGAATGGCTAAGAAAGCAGTCATCTGAACACTGAGGTACAGAGTGGGAACCTGGCAGTGCTGGAGGCAAGTTTCCTTGCCCTCCAGGCCCTGCAAAGGTACTAAGTTCTGGTGAAGATCCTGTTAGAGGCATTGAACCCTTCAAATCATTCCCAGCTTTGAAAAAAATCATCTTTTGTTTTTTTTCACCTTTATATATTGAAGAATTTTAAAATTGTAGAATTGTTTGAAGAAGACTACAATGAACACCCATATACTTTCACCTGGATTCTCCAACTAACATTTTGTCACTGTTAACTTACTTTATTGTTACTGTTTTCATTATTATTGTTATTTGGCAGGACCATTTGTAAATTACTTTTAGACATCATAACAGTTCACCCCAAAATATTTGGGGATCAGTCTTATAAGAACTAAAACACCCTTATAACTCCAATACAATGTTCACACAGAGTTTAACTTGACACAGTTTAACTTGTTATTGATTCTCCTATTTCTCTCTCCCATGTAGCTGGGATTACAAGTGTGTTGGGTGGAGAAACATTTTTAACAGGAATGTTATGCAAATGATATTTATTCTTGTGAGTTCATTCTACCAAGAAGCATAAGAGGGCGCTGGGGATGTGGCTCAAGCGGTAGCGCGCTCGCCTAGCATGCGTGCGGCCCGGGTTCGATCCTCAGCAGCACCACATACCAACAAAGATGTTGTGTCCGCCAAGAACTAAGAAAAAATAAATAAATGTTAAAATTCTCTCTCTCTCTCTCTCTCTCTCTCTCTCTCTGTCCCCCTCTCTCTCTCTCTCTCTCTTTAAAAAAAAAAAAAAAAAAAAAAAAGAAGCATAAGAAGTCCATTTGTTTCATTATTGATTATGTTAAGGTAAACAGTTTATTAAGATGCTGTCTACCTTATATGTTAGCCCATTTCTAAGTTAGTCAGCTTTTTGTTGCTGTGGCCAGTATACTGGACAAGAACAACTTTTGGAAGAGGAAAAGTTCATTATGGCTCATAGTTTTCAGAGATTTAGTCCATGGTGGAGGGACTCCATTGCTCTGGGCCCAAGATAAAGCAGGACATTATAGCAGAAGGGCATGGTGGAGGAACATTGCTCACCTTTTGGTGGCCAGGCAGCAGGGGTTGAAAGGGGCTGTAAGGAAGATGAACTCTTTCATGGCACACCCCCAGAGACCGACCTCCTCCAGCTATACTCCACCTGCCTACAGTTACCATCCAGGCCATCCACACTAGGCTGAGAGGTTAGAGTTTTCATATTTTAATAATTTATCCTCCATACATTCCTGCATTAACTAGGAGCTTTGGGGGGACACCTCATACTACATCATAGTACCATAAGTAGGTGCACGAAGCTTTGAGACTGTAAATATCCTATTTGCCAGCAATCTTTCATCCAGTGGTTTTTAAGATCCACTGACAATTTTTGCCTAAATTATTATTATCATAGTGGTTAAAAAAATGGTGATTTTCTAATGGTCTCTGTCCTACATTTATTTGATGTTTTGGGTTTTTTTGTATAAATAAAAGCTTTTCCTTGTCCCTCTTCCTCTGTTAACTTTTTTTTTAAATATCAGTATGGCTAATGAATTCTTTAGTGGGTTTATAGCAGATTAATTTAGCAAATTACCAGCCTTTGTTATTATAAAAAATGTTCTTCCATAACTTCATTTGCAGTACTACTCATTACTTAATAAAAGCTGACTTTAGGATTTAAGACTAGAATATTAATTGACTAAATCACTTATAGTTCATAGCACCTAACTTATTGTTCATTTATAAACTGGAGTAGTGCATGAAGACATTTTGTGCATATTCGTTTTTTTCCTTACCCTTGTATTTATATGTCCCTAGAACATTAGCCATATATATATATATATATATTTTTTTTTTTAAACTTTATTTATTTTTTTAGAGGAGAGAAAGAGAGAGAGAGAGAGAATTTTTTAATATTTATTTTTCAGTTCTCGGCGGACACAACATCTTTGTTGGTATGTGGTGCTGAGGATCGAACCCGGGTCGCACGCATACCAGGCAAGGACGCTACCGCTTGAGCCACATCCCCAGCCCCATATATATATTTTTTTAAATAGTTTTTTTTAGTTGTTGATGGACGTTTATTTTACTTATTTGTACGCAGTGCTGAGAATCGAACTCAGTGCCTCACGCATGCTAGGCAGTCGCTCTATCACTGAGCCACAACCCCAGCCCCTAACCATATTCTTGTAAATCTTTTTCATTCTATGACACTTACACAGCATTGCATACACACATAGAAGGTGCTCTTCAGAAAAATTGTTATTGATTTATTCATTTAACAATCTTAGTTTACCTTGGTTGTCTATAACTTATAATGCCCAAGAAAAATTTTAAGTATTTATCCTAATTTTTAGGATTTCCTAACATTTTATTTATTTTATTTTATTTATTTTTTTTGGTACTGGGGATTGAACCCAGGCCCTTGTGCATGCAAGGCAATCACTCTACCAACTGGGCTGTATCCCCAGCCCCAAATTCCTAACATTTTACTAGTTTTCTTTGCTAGTCTTTTGATCTTTGTTTTATATATCCAGTCCATGACAAAAACTTGTCTTATTGGTGCATTCTGATTATACCTAGTACTGGGATTCATTGTGACATATTTGTACATGCACATAACATAATTTGATCAAGTTCATTACCCAGTATTTCCCTTTCCCTCTCTTCTTCAGTGAAAACTTTCTTTTTAAAGCTAAGTTTTAAATTATGGAAGTAGTGGACATGTAACAATTTTAAAAACTCAAAACAATATACAGATTTTAAAGGAAAAAGTCACTTGCCTTCTAAAACACTTTGAGATTTGAATACTTGGTTTAGTTTATTTATTTTTATTTGGTGTTGAGGATCGAACCCAGGGCCTCACACGTGCTAGGTGAGTGCTCTACCACTGAGCCACAACCCCAACCCCTGAATACTTGATTTAGAAAGATTGCCCTTTGAGAAATTCTGTAACGTTTTCGTTATGGATTGCCTGTTCTTTACACTTGGATTTATATTTTGAATTATCATCTGGTCAGGTTTTCTTAAAATGGGTATATATCTAATTTATGTTTTAAAATGAGATGCAAAAATGTAATTTACATTCTTTTTTATTATTTCAGCTAGCAAATCATGGAATGAAGGTTGTCCTAATCAGCCGATCACAAGACAAACTGAACCAGGTTTCCAGTGAGATAAGTAAGTTCTTGCATTAAACACTCCATGATTGCAAATGGAACACAGCTAATCTAAGTTTAATGTTTTCAGGTGGGTTTCTAGCACTGACATATTTATTTAGAGTTCAGGAAACTTCTTTTTTATTCTGTTAATGGCATGTTTTGAAGATGAACCATCTTTTAAGTAATTATTTATTTAAAAGTTTTTATTAATCTTTCAAAATAATTTCATTAAGTTATTTTAGACCTATTGTAATTTGCTTGAAATGCCTTTTACTGACTCACCTATTTTTGTTGTTCTGAGTCAGATTTTCTGATTATTTTATCATGTTCTCAGTGAAACATCTGAATCTTTTTCTGTTGCTTCACTTCAATATTGAGTATTTTTCACTCCTTTGATCTCAGTGTCTCTAAATGTGTAACACATGATTGAGAGCAAGTATAAAAGGTAGCAGGTACACCTGTGGCAGGGGTGCTACGTTGAACTTTCTTTCTAGTCAGCTATACCTGAGATCTGAATTGTAACTTGGTAAAGACTCTCTTAACTGACTTCCACTTTACCAACCTAATGAATAAATCAGTGCTACACATTTCCTCCGTAAAACAAACTGATGAACCGGCTGTGTGACCACCTGTGGCTGGCACACGGCTGGGATGAAACTTGTACACGCATATTTGCCCAGGTCAAATTGTTTCCTTATTAAGAGGTAATTGTGTTTGTTTCCAGAATTATGCCAGGTTCATTTGTTGTACATATTCTGCAAAATGATGAAACATTAGTGTAAAAGGGGGGGGTTATTTCTACAAAACCTACATTGAATGTTCTGAGAAAGTTTGTAAAATAAGTTCTTTCAGAAATTTGTTGTCAAATTAGATGTGACCAAGATTAATGTAAAATATTTAAAAGCTTATAAAAAATAAGAAATTTATTCTCTCATTGACTTTTTTTTTTCCCCTTTTTGTTGGGGATTGAACTCAGGTGAGGGACACTTGGCTACTAAGCTACATCCTCAGCCCTATTTTGTGTTTTATTTTAGAGACAGGGTCTCACTGAGTTGCTTAGTGCCTCGCTTTTGGCTGAGGCTGGCTTTGAACTCCATACTACTGTCTCAGCCACGTAAGCCCCTGTAATACAGGCATGAGCCACCTCACCCTGCTTGAATTGACGTTGATTAAAAGGAATTTCTTTTTCCTGTTGAAAATTCTGAAAAGATGTTTTTCTGGGTATAATATAAATTTATTAAGACGTGATATTAGCAGACCACGTCATCATCTGAAAAAGTATACGAGAGACTTATAAGTTACAACATGATTTAAATTGAGATGTTTACCATGTCTTTGAGAGGATAATGTTTTTGTGAACATATCTGTTCCAGGAAAAGGGAAGGAACAGAATTTAATGTTCTTTGATTTTGCCTTTTACACATCTTTATTGGATGCCTCTATACCAGGCACTATACTAGGCAGTTGGGACAGTGATGAATAAGTTGGATGCAGTCCTTGCTCTCTGGACCTTATAATCTAGTGGAGGAGACAGTGAAAACAAATGAAGAAAAACCCAGAACTCAAAACTAAGTCAAAACAAAAATCCAGACAAATTAACTAATTGCACTTTGTAGCAGGCCTCACAAAGAGAATGAACAAAGGACTAGAGAGGAAACATTGGAGAGGTTCTTATTTTGTAACAGTGTGTTGAGTTTTGTGAATGTCAGGGTTGTAAAGGAGCCAGAATAATAACCTGTTACCAGTAATGACATTCTAGGAATGGAGGTAGAGCCTGAGTGACGGTTGTATCCTGTGGGCCTTTCTGTGGGTGTAATGACACAGGGATTGTGTATTTTTAAGTTGGCACATGATAAATCTACTCCCAACATTCCAATTTCCCGAAGCCTTTGGATCCCTGCCTCTACCTCCTGGTCTTATTAAACCTAGGCTCTCTTGGAGCCCAAGTGTCAGTCAGCCAACCAAGCTAACTGTTTGAGCCCCTCCTAATTCTCTGGTAAGTGAATCATACAAAAAAAAAAAAAATTGGCCTATTCTGGTGTTACATTGTTTTTCTTCATCTAACACTCACAGAATGAATTCTCATGTATTTCTCAGCTTTCTACCAATACAAAGAGGCTAGTTTTGTAGTTATTTTTATGTATAAGTGTATGGGTCATACTTTGTACATGTTCCCCAGAGAATGCTGCAACCTAACCCTGTTGTGGTGACAGTAAGGGATGGCTGAGTTGAGTGTTGAGGATAAGAGTAATCCTCTTGAAAGAAAACTGCCCTTGATGGCGTGATGTCGTTGTGTTCGCGGATCTTCAAACCAGAGAAGACTAATCTTCAGGCTCTTTCTGTTTGCACTGGCAAGGGAGGCTCAGAGAGCTCTCGTGTCATCATGCAAACTTGGATACTTTTTGCCTTCATAAGCAATCTCTTGGGAATGTGAAGGGCAGCCTACTCATCAAAGCCAAAGTTCTTCAGAAAAATTTTAAAAGGACTATATATAGTTTGGTAGGGAACTAAACGTTTCTCCAACTATGGATAAATACCTCATCATAATTGACTGCTTTGATGAAATTACAGCTCTATGTAAGGATACCTGTCACCTGTTGAATTAAAATAAGCTGAAAGTCTCACACACATAATAAGCTTATTTTATTATCATTGTCAGCTGGGATTATTTATATATTAAGTATTTTCTGCCAATTTTGATTTGTCAAAGAAAAGAACTCCTAGCTAATTTTTGAATGCTGAACTAGGTTTTTATTTACAGTAAAGCACAATACAAAGAGGACTACATTACCAAATAACCTATGGCTCACAGGATATGGAGATGGTGACATTTACCATTCACATTATTGTGTGGCAGTCTATAATTCTAATTGGATACACTTTAATGAGATTTGATTGAAAGCAAACAAACCATGATGTATTTTTGTTTTGTGGTTTTTTGGTAGTTTATCACTGGCTATTATACAGCTTTAGAATGGCCCTATAATTCCATTTCACTGGTCTGTAGTTGACAGAGGTATAGGATAGGTAGAAAAGATCCATTCCACCTTCTTCCAGTTCATACTTCTGATTCAGATCTGTGTAGTTAAGATGTGGACTTGACCAAATAGATTTGTTTTATAATTTTGTGATGCAGAAACAGTTCTATTAATCCACTGTGTGTTCTCATCCTATGTGTAGGAAACATAAAAAACTTAAACTGAGCAAGAAATATACTGTCTATGATCTTTTCAAAACAAATACTATATTTTTAGAGTTTTTTGGAGAAAATAGGTGAATGAGTAGAGCATTTGAAAATATGTATTTCCATGCGTGTACGTGAAAATATATATAAAGGATATATAAGCTCTAGATTGTGATTTCTAACCTATTTTAATGTATCTGTCAATTTCATTTTAATATTCTCAAGATTGAAAACTTAGAACTTTATGGTTAGTGACCCCCCCTGTTATATTTAGTGTATTTCATTTATGTAAGAAACAACAGTTAACACATAAAGACCTTTTTGTTTTATGTTCAGTGAAACCAGAACCACATGATATCAGGATTAGAGACTCAATCACTTGATAATTATAGAAATATCTTAATTGTCCTTAGAGTTCATGTATTTGAAGGCCAGAAACTCAAATCCATCTAACTTTTCTCTACTGATTTTGCCTGTAGTACTTGAGACTGTGGAGGTATTCTCTTGTTCTAAGATCTCCAAATTTGACAGTGTTCCTGGCCTTCCAGAAAGTGATATCCTGTACTATGTGTAAAACTGAGACTTCACAAGGTCCCAGGTTAGTTCTTGGAAGGTCTTTGAAGCATTACTTCTAGATACAGGAATGTGATCCTTTTTTCTTTCCCGTGGGATTTTCATGCCTAATTAAAAGAGATTTACCATTAAATGAAACATCTCTGGCATGGTCATGGTTACAAATTTGTTTTGTCTAATTATATCCTGGCAAGGAGAAATATATATCGTTATTAGGTCAATGCAAATAATTACTTTGCCATGTTAAGTAAAAGTATTCAATAATGACATGTAATATTTCCTGTTATTATGATTAGTTTTATAGACAGGGTCAAACAGTATGTGTTACATTTTCTACAGAATTATCATCTTTAAATTTATCTAATGAATTACTAGTTTATGTTCCAGTTAGTATTGCTATGTAACAAACTACCCTAAACTTATTGAGGTAAAGCAAAAACCATCTTAGATGCTCTCCAGTTCTGCCAGGACTTTTGTTCCTTGTGGCATTACTGAGATCACTCAGCGATACTCCACTGGTAGATGTCCTGGTAAGGAAGATCCAAGATGGCTTCTCTCACAGGTTGTTGCCGTGGCCCGGGATGGCTGTATGGTTGGACTCAGCTGGGACTACTGAAGCGAGTACTTGTCCCCAGCATGGCCATCAGGGTAAATTAACTTCTTAACTGGTAACTCTTTTCCCCCAGAGTGAACGTTTCAGGAGAACAAGGAAGAAACTGGTGTCTTTTTATGACCTAGTCTCAGAATTGTGTAGTATTGCCACTACATGGTCAAAACACTCATGAATCTGTCTGGATTTAAGAGGGGAATAAACTCTATCTTCTTGTTTTTTACCCCAGAGTTGCAGAACAAACCCAGGGCCTCTGCATGCTAGGCAAGAAGTGCTGTACCACTGAGTGACCTTCTGTCTATTAGGCTCTACCTCTTGATGAGAGAGTGGCATGGTAAAATTGGTAAAAACCAAACAAACAAACAAACAAAAAACATGTATGATGGGGATATTATAGGAAAGTACAATCTTTATTTGGAAAATATAACCTGCAAGTTTATTAAGCTATATTGAAGTTTCCCAGAGAATGTTTTTGCTACGTTTTGAGAGCTCAGTAGGGACAGCATACCATTCAAAAAGGTGTTAATTTCAGTTTGCCCAAGTATAACCAACCATAATGAGGGTTAGTAAAAATTGAAAAAGAAAAAAATGTTTTCTCAAAATTACTATTGTTTTTTTCCTCATTGGTTTGATTCAGTGTTGTGAAATTAAT